ACTTGGCACAGAGTCTCTGAGATTCACGGACGGATCTTCACACTCCTGAAACAAAGGAAGAATTGTTTCCTGCAAAAGCCCATTCCTCTTTCGCTCCTCTTTTATTTCCTCTGGGAGGGGCCATTTATCATCCACCTGTGGTGTTACTCCCAAGTCGACCCTTGTTCCTTAGCTGTTCCCTTCCTCTGCCAGCTCTATGCATGCACACACTGGGAACAGGCTACAGCTATTCCTCTGCCTCACTGCTGTCTAGCTCTAAAGGCAGCTGATAACTGCCAATGGCCTTGGCCCCCTCTCCGCCTCCAAAGCAGAGGCCTCGCCCGAGCCTTCCCCAGCCTCCAGGAATGGCCCATGTTCCTCCCCAACCTCCTCACTGTCCCAACTGCTGCCAACTTTGCTGGCTGCTGGCGCACCACAGCAGTCCCAGGGCACCTTGAGTAGTGTGGATGGGTGTGTGGAGCCTTCTTGGAACTGCTGAAAGTGCTGTGTTGTAGACTGGAGATAGACGACGTCATGTTCCTCCCCCTCTGTTGAGGGAGGGCTGTTCAGTTTTGACATAGATGGCCTCTTTGCCATACCTCTTTCTAACCAGCGGTCCTCTCCATCCAAAATGTGGACTTTGCTGCTTTCAAAAGGGTGGCCTTTTTCTTCTAAATGCAGATAGACTACTGAATTTTGTCCTGATGGATTTGTTCTCCGATGTCTTTATGGTTTTTATGTGGTGGATTTTTAAATGTTGTAAACTATCAGCAGTGATTTAGGCGGCCACATTTATTTGATAATATCAATCGATCAGAATACAATTGGAAGGGACCTTGAAAGTCTTCTAGTCCAACCCCTTGCTCAAGCGCACCATTCCAGACAAATGGGTTGTCCAATCTAATCTTGAAAGCTTCGAGCATTCACAACTTCTGGAGGCAAGTTGTTCCGCTGGTTTATTGTCCTCACTGTTAGAAAATTTCTCCCTTAGTTCTAAGCTGCTTCGATTAGTTTCCATCCTTTGCTTCTTGCCCTGCCTTAAGTCATTCTTCCAGTGAAGCTGGTGTTGCTGAAGAAGAAACCATCCCTTTAGTTGGCCAATTGCTTCCAACTGATTTACTGCCTCAGTGATGTTGTATTCGGCATCACACTATCCTCCATACATCTTAATTAATGACATGTGGTCCTGGAGAAGATGCTGACGAATTTTCTCTCTGTTTTACCCTCAAATTTAATGGCCATGCAGAAACAGTTACCCAGATGTTGTCAAAGGAACATATGCAGATAATTGAAGCTTTTAATGTATGATGTGATTTGGATGATATTCTATTTTATTAGCTCAGCTGTTTGCTTGCATTTTTAAAAAAAACGGTTAATTATTTTGCATTAAAAAATGTTTTGTCCAGTGTTACGATTTGGAACTTATGCCCCTGGGATGTTTATTTTTCTTTCTTTCATTCCTAGCCGGGATCTAAAAGAATATTGAACGGAACAGACGACAAGTCTAGTTGCAAAGAGTCAAAAGGTGGAAACCTGGACCCATTGTCATGCATAAGTAAGTTGCTTTCTCCTAGTGTTATGATTTTTCTTGGGTTATCTTTGTGGTTTGATGGTGAGAAACTTTTATCACGGAAGTAGATACGGTGCCAACTAAAATGAAAATAAAACAAAACAGTTCCCATTTGTGGGTGTTTGTAAAAACGCTGTTCTAGGACAGCTTCCTCATAGTGGCTGAAAGCGATGACGGTTACACTCTCAACTGAACCTGAAGACACCGCATTGGGAAACCTGGCCCAGGTTATAAGGTATTCAAGCGTGAGGGAACTGGCGCAATACTGGAAGAAGGAAGATTTGCCTACTATTCAAGAATGGACATTAAAAGTAACAAACCTAGCAGAGATGGCTAAAATATCAGCGTATCTCAAGGACCACTCAAATGAGAGAGAGAAACTGGAGTGGAGAAGTTGGATTGTCTATACCCAAAATAAATATGGGACTAAGAAATTCCAGATAGTTTATGCTTAGTATCAGTAATAA